ATACATACATACATACATACATACATACATACATACATACATACATACATATTCAATCCAGTAAGTAGCTTTTTTTCTTAGATGGCAGAGTAAAGATGTAGATACAGATACAGATAATCAGAGTTGGAAGGGACCTTGTAGGTCATCTAGTCCAACCCCCCACCCAAGCGGGAGACCCTACACCATTTCTGACAAATGGCAGTCCAATCTCTTCTTAAAAGTCTCAACTGATGGCGCTCCCACAACTTCCGAGGGCAAGCTGTTCCATTGGTTGATTGTTCTCACTGTCAGAAAGTTTCTCCTTGTTTCCAGGTTAAGTCTCTCCTTGTTCATCCATTATTCGTCTGGCCTACAGGCGCTTTAGAAAATAGTTTGACCCCTTCCTCCCTGTGGCAGCCCCTCAAATATTGAAAGACTGCTATCATGTCTCCCCTGGTCCTTCTCTTTACTAGACTAGCCAAGCCCAGTTCCTGCAACCGTTCGTTGTATGTTTTAGCCTCCAGTCCCCTAATCACCCTGGTTGCTCTTCTCTGTACTTTTTCTAGAGTCTCAACATCTTTTTTATAATGTGGTGACCAAAACTGGATGCAGTACTCTAGGTGTGGTCTTACTAAGGCTTTATAGAGTGGTATTAGTACTTCCCTTGATCTTGTCTGTATCCCTCTGTTAATACAACTTAGGATTGCATTAGCTTTTTTGGCTGCTGCTGCACACTGCTGGCTCATATTTAGCTGGTTGTCCACTAAGACTCCAAGATCCCTCTCACAGTTACTGCTATTGAGCCTGGTTTCACCCAGTCTATATGTGTACTTTTGGTTTTTCTTGCCTAAGTGTAGGACTTTACTTTTCTCTATATTGAATTTCATTTTATTAGATATGGCCCAGTGTTCTAGTCTGTCAAGATCCATCTGGATCTTGAGCCTATCTTCGTGGGTGTTAGCTATTCCTGCCAGCTTAGTATCATCTGCAAATTTGGTAAGTTCCCCTTCTATTCCCTCATCTAAGTCGTTAATGAAGTTATTGAAGAGTACTGGGCCTAAGACGGAACCTTGTGGCACCCCACTGCTTACTTCCCTCCATGCAGACTTAGACCCATTAAGGACTACTCATTGAATACGGTTTGTCAGCCAGTTGCGAATTCATCTAGTGGTGGTGCTATCTATTCCACTTTTTTCTAGCTTACTAAGAAGTAGGTTGTGGTCTACTTTATCGAATGCCTTGCTAAAATCTAAATATATTATGTCCACAGTATTTTGCTGGTCTACTAATTTAGTCACTGTGTTGAAGAATGAAATAAGATTTGTTTGGCATGATCTGTTCTTAACAAACCCGTGCTGACTGCTAGTTATTACTTTACTTGTTTCTAGATGTTGGCAGATCTGTTTTTTTATTATCTTTTCCAGTATCTTCCCGGGTATTGATGTTAGGCTGATTGGTCTATAGTTTCCTGGGTCTGTTTTTTTTCCCTTTTTTGAAGATGGGAACCACATCAGCTCTTTTCCAGTCCTCTGGTAGTTCTCCGATGCTCCAGGATTTTTGAAAGATATGGTGCAGCGGTTCTGAGATGACCTCTGCCAGCTCCTTTAAAACTCTGGGATGTAATCCATCAGGCCCCGGTGATTTGTTTTCATCAAGATCAGACAGGTGTTCAGACATGTATTATATCAGACATGTATTATTGCTGTGATTCTAAAGTGCCATATCTGACCCAGAAGCCATTACTAAAAAACAAACACACAAATCAGATATGTTATGTACTAATTATTTTTATTAATAAAGGGACAGGAGATTAAAACGGCAAAAAGGGAAAAAATCTTTTGGAGGTGACAAATACATTGGATGATAAGAAAGAGAAGAAGAGAATCACAGTCAGATCTGCAGGATTCTGTTATTAGAGCTTATCTAAGTCTTGCCTGTTCTGGTCTACCTCAAAGGGTTGATAGCAATCTTATAAGAATCATTGTGCTTCTTTTTCTCTCCCTCTTATAACTCAGTGAATCAGGATGGAATCAGTATAAGCCTCTTTTTAATATTCTCTCTCTTCCCAGGACAAAGGAATACTACTCTCCTCTTTGTTTACATAATGGTTTCTGAAAGTTTGCTTCAAAGCCATCTCCCTGACTCTCTAAAGAAAACAAAAGAGTATAATTGGTCCATAAGTGGTAATAAAATAGATCAAGTTTTTTAATTGTCTAGGCATAATGTTATACCGTGAAGTAATAGAGTAATGGAAACTTGGAACCAATTTCCAGTGAAGATAGAGGGTCAATCATCAGTAACTGAGTTTAAACATGCGTGGGACATATACGTCTATCATCTGACAAAAAATAAAAAATAAGAATAACAATTAAATAAAAATCATAAAAATCATTAATAAATACATAAATTAAAAAGAAAACAGAAAACAAACAAAAAAGGGCAGATTTGATAGACCACTGGCTCTTTTTCTGCCATCTATTTTCTATAATGTTTTGTGAATCTGGGAGATAAGAATTCCACTTAACTTATCAATTCTAAGTGATTGCATTTAAGGTGCTTGGTAACTACCTCACATTTACAACTGGTTACAGCATTCTGTGGTCACATGACCACGATTTGTGACATTCTTTTGTCATTTTTCTGGCGGGAAATGGCAAAAAAATATCCACTGCATCAGTGGTGGGATTCAATTTTTTTTACTACCGGTTCTGTGGGCTGGCTTAGTGGGTGTGGCATGGCTTGGTGGGCATGGCAGGGGAAGGATACTGTAAAAACTCTATTCCCACCCCACTCCTGGGGGAAGGTTACCACCGGTTCTCCTAACTACTCAAAATTTCTGCTTCCAGTTCTCCAGAACTGGTCAGAACCTGCTGAATACTACCTCTGCACTGCATATGCTGGGTTCACTTAACAAATATATGGTTCACTTAATGACCATGTGATTTGATTTATAAACATGATGACTTTACGAACATCTTAAAAATAATTGTAAAATTGATACTGATCACATGCCTCAACTTATAACCAAAATTCTGGACTCCATTGTAATCATAAGTCAAGGTTTATTCATAACAATAAGTATTTTTCACTCATTATGCAAATCAAATCTCAGGGATAAACGGACTCTACTGGCTTTTCATAGGAAGTCCTGAAATCTACAATGAAGCTAGCAAGACCATAAAAGAGCCTGACCATACCCTACTGGCCTTTAGAAAGGCAGTCAAAAATTGGTTCGCTCTCTGGATTTTTGTGTT